TTTTTTTTTTTTTTTTTTACGATCCTGTTAAATCCTTCGAGCGTATACTGTTAAATTGGACAATCGCTCGAGGAAATAAAATTATGCGTGTTTAACAATCGGAAAGACTTAAAAATCTTGGAATTTTAAACAAGAATGAATTCTCATGTTTAAAACAAAGCGTTAAAAAGCTTTTAAGCTTTTATTTAGTTTATGGGGCACAAGGGAAGACAGAAATGGCGATGAATAGAACTCCTTTTATAACGGAGAGTATACAGCGCGCGATTGTACTATCGAGGCAAACAAATCGTAGGCAGAGGAGGACATTTACGCGTAGAAAATCCATCAGTTATCAGAACTTGTCGTTCGACGCCAGAAACCAGGCGGGAATTAGCGAGAATTTTTTTTTTTTCAAATCTTCCAGTTCAACGATCTCGTTGAGCTGGATTTTGAGCACTCAATTTTATTTTTCCTGTTCGTATGAAACGGACGTGTATTTCGTTTCTCATATTCCATCCGTTCCAATATGAACATTTATCCGTTCGATGTCAATTTTCCGATGTAGAGTCGCAATTTTATTTTTTTATTAAATTCGAGAAATTATATTCAGACATATAAGTGTGAATGTCGATGAAATATATAGATTAGACGCACTATGTGTCTTCCGATGCTTTTTTAATCTCGACCCCGAACGAAACGAAAAATCCCTGTGTCTACCGGCCGAATCGTACGTTCGCGTGTTCGGCAATTTCCGACATCCCTCGGCAGGACTCGCAAGCGCGCCGCATCGCAGCGTCATTCAGTCGAATGCTGACCGCCACGCGCAAAGGATCGTGTTACGCTCGATATCCGTGTGTCGTCACGAGTCACTTCTGTCTGCTTTGACAGCCAGTCACGTCTTACGTTTCTTCATTGTGTTTACATTCCTGATGTACGATCACCGATCGAATACGGTTCGTTTGCTCCCCGCTTAAATCAATTGTCTATCCGATTCGGTTGTTCGTTTTTTCGGTATCTAATCGCGATTTCTCCAGAGAGGGCACGTGTTAATCAAACGAACCACATCGAAAGTGTGCAGTGCGTTCAATTATTTGCTGTGGGCGATCAAAGATTCGTATATACAAACGAGATTATTGTGCTTGGGGACGTTTCTGTTGGCAAACACGATCGATATAAAGAGAAGACGACATACATGGTTTGATTTACGTCTCATCTCGAGCATAGTGCTACGCTAACTTTGAAATCGTCTGAAATTACATTCAAGAGAGAACGTTGTCGCGATCGAGGCACGTTCCCAGCTATCTCGGAGCTTCTTAACGAAGCACCCCGCCTTTAAACGAATTTAACGAGACCACTCATCCATACGGTCAATTCGTACCAACCCGCGTGGACTGATCCAGGCGTCCCTCGCGTCTCCTCACTCCTCACTTAGGGTTGACTGACCGACCGAGACGCAAGACCGTACTCCGGTCCCCGTGATCAAAGATATACTCGTCGAGCGTGTACGATGCGTTCGATCAATCGCGACACGGTGATATATCGGCGAGGATAAACAAACAGACCGAGTGAAAGAAGATTGGTGGAGCAAAAGGAGCCAAAGGGCAAACGAGCGTAACACTGGTTGCTGATTATTCGCCGAGAGAGAAAAAGATTTCGGGAAGGATTCTCCGTTACGCGAGCCTAGACGATTCCTAGTTAACGATCAACAAAAGTGGCTGGTAATTAGAGCCGGATTAATTGGACCGCGAAGCAACTCGCGCCGGACGCGATGAAAGAGAAGAGGGGCGCCGCGAGGAAGAGAGGGTTGCTCGAATAAGCGTATTTCGCGCGGCTTTCTTATTTCGGGGATTGTCGTCTCCTCGCGACCAATTCTTAGTTTCTACGTGTAAATATTTATGTCAGTGAACCCTGCTGCCAGTGATCACCAGAATTGAAATCACCTTACCAGTGATTCGTTACGAATACGTGAATTCATAATAGCTTCGCGAACTGTACTCGTTAGTTAACTATTCAAAGACTATACGTGTTTGTGGTTAGGCCATCGGTCTCGGCCATTGTTTCCCCCCCCCCCCCCGCATCGACACACGCGGAGAACGCAAGAAGCTCGCGTATTAAGTAAAACGCGAGTGGAAAGGTCGAAGAACAGTAATCGAGGGGGTGTTGGAGGGGTGGTGGTCGATCGGTCACGAGCGCGAGGAAGCGGCGGCGGTCAGCGTGTCGGGGATCGGGTCGGATAATGCGCCATCGCGCGACAACGCGATTTTCGGCGATCGTGAGGATAGAATGTTGACAGCCCGTTCTGGGCCTCTTGGGCTCGGTGTCCCGCGAACCCTGGGGCCCGCCGAAGGGAGCGACCACCTCTTCCTTCTACCCGAAAGAGCACTGATCATGGACAGCACCCACTTGAGACAGGATCTGGCCGGTCTCGACTTCAACTTGCACCTGAACCTGCTCCACACCGCGCCCCGCGGCAACGTCTGGCTATGTGAGTCGCTACTTTGTACCGGGTCATTGTCTGGGGATGATGGAACGCATGCGGTGGTCACCATGCGGTTTTTCTATCTATGTGAAAACCAAAGGGGGGGAAGGGAAGATTCCGGTTCGATGGGATTGGCCGTTTATCTAGTTTCTCTCGCTTCTTTTAAAGGTTGAACGAATTGGCGCGTTTATGGTTGAAATGTGGATGTGATATGGTAAGCACGTAGGTCGTGCTTGGTCAAACGATTTCATTCCTTCCTATAAATTATTCGGCGTTTCAAATATTAATGGAGAATCTTTTGTTCTCGGCTCAATGGATCGTTTAATAAGACCGTTTTAACGATCTCGTAATCAAGATACGTTTGTCTTAGTTACTTGTTTCTGTCCGAATGGAGAACGCGTTTTAAATTATAAAAATGGCTTTATTGGAACGTATATAGAATATGAGTTTCGTGTGTTTCTAATTGCACGTTTGCAATTTTTAAACATTTTACTCCGGACGTAAAGATAAAACGTAGAGAATTCATTCTTACTATAAACATACCGTTGTTCGTGCACTGACCATAAATCTTTAAAGCTCTATAATATTCTTGTATCATGGCTCGCGATCCTTCATCCAAATCTTACCGGTTCATTCCTTCGCGATCGAGACGATCACTGTTAAGTTTTAGTTAATGGTATAATGAATTATTGAGCTTGCTCCTGCATCGAAATCTCATTAAATCGCATCCATCTTAGGTCATAATTTCCAATTCAACTTCTTACCACGACCTCGTCAGCCAGCTGTCACGAATAAGAAAAGCTTTTTCGATCGATTCCTCTTTCGCTTAATGAAAGTAAGCAGTAGTTGGAAAGCCGCTTCGTTATTTTGATGAAGATCCTGATATCGATTCAAGATGTATCGCAGTTTAATATAATAGTTTTTATTTCGCTTTTTAACGAACACGTTACACGTGTATTTCCTCGAATGATAAACGAGCTATAAACTCCATTAAAGTTACAAATTCTCGACCTTTCTGATCACGAATCGTAGAATCGTTTGACATCGTTTCGAGACTCCATTGCTTTTCAAAAAAAAAAAGAAAAAAATCCAATAAAACCGGGGATCGTCTAGATTCGATGAAAATGTCAGGCAATTCGCGTCACACGAAAGTCTCTCTCAGTTTTTCCGTCTCTCGTTTCGATCACAGCGAAACAAAAGGGCATAGAGAAAGGGAATGGGTGCTCGAAAATGAAAATCCTTGCCCTCGCGACGACGACAAGGGTTTGAAAAACAAGGGTGCGCGTTATTGGTCCATAAAAGCGGTACCCGTACGACAAATCTCGCGTTTCATTTCGTTTTGTGATCTTCTAAATCTGGTCCGTTCGATAAACTTTGTATCGCGCGTGTATTTTTCATAACTTTTACGTTTAACATAAACATTAATTATACAGATACGTATTCTGTAAAAACTATTTACTTATTTTTCGATAATTATTTTACTTTTGAAAACGTAATTATCGCTCGTAGAATAGAAGCAGACAATCGACTCGCTCGTTTTTAATACGTTAGGATAGCTAACGTGCTCATAAAAAATTAACATGTCACTACTGGTGCTTCTCGTTAGAATATTATCATTTGTATTCATCGTTGATCCTGTCCTGCCTATTATAGTTTTCGTTCCAACATTTGTTCACGATGTTACTATCCACGCTTGCTCGGGGATAGATAATTATACCGCCGCTATAAACACTCCACTTCTTTTTTTCATTGCATCGTTGAGGACAGATTAGACTTCGCGGTGTCGTCAACCATTGTATCATTTTTTCGTTGGTACAGTTAGATCACTTATCGTACTAGGACGATCTTTTCCCCGTTTTTAATGGCGTTCATCGCATAGGTAGCTGTTATTCCAACCGTGGTCTAGAAACTCGCAATTTAACCAGACAGCCGGTAATCTCTGTTTACGTTTCTGTCCTCTATAGAAACAACAAATTCCGCGTCGCGTTTCTTAATAGCGCGTGGCGTTTGGACAACGGTTCTAATCTTTTACTTTTTGCTAATTATTATAGTTACCACTTTTATGTCTGCTACGTGTCGACAGATGGAACGATAAAAAAGGTAGGCGCGTAATTTTCGAGCGAGATTGCGACCATTAATATTTCTCTATTTTTCGCCTTCTCTGTCGAGACTTTCAATCTTGCTCCACTGCTTTTTCATCAATGACACACTCTCGAATTATTTTCATTTTTCGTTCCCAGCCAACGATGTCAGTGTCGAGAATTCGCATGAAACACCGTTGCGAAAGTCGGTTCCGCGCAATCTGGCGTAATTTTCCACGTTCCATCGAAATTCATCGAAATTCGATGGATCGTTATATAGGAAGAAAAAAAAGAAAAAAAAGAAAAAACGAAAAAAAACGTGAAAAAAAATCGCTTGAACGTGTTCGCGCGTTTTTTCTGCGCATTTCGTAGAAATTAATTGCGATACGTGCATATTTCGAGACTGTCGAATGCGCTCAATTCCACGGCTATATGCCTGTGGATATACGTAAGTCTGCTTGATTACATATAATGTGGCCGTGCAACGTTCTTTTCCTTATATAACGCGAGAAAGGTGGAAACGAACCGACAACTTTTTTTCATCTTTTTCCGATTGTAAATAAACCGTTGGGCTATGACGCGGTTTGGAGCACGCCTTTCCAACACACGTTCTGCCAGAAATTGTAGCCAAATAGTTTCTATACAGGGTCGACCGTCTAATCATTTAATTTATTACTTTCATTTATTATCCGATATTTATCACATAATTAAATTATCTTTTACGATGACATTTTATTTTTGTTTTTAATTAATTTTTAAAGCTATTTTTTCCCTTTCTTTTCTTTTTTCTTTTCTCTTTTTTTTTTTTTTCCACATCCAACCTCGTAATTCTTTTCCCTTGTTAGTCACGGCAATAAAAGCATTATCTTTTTAAAAAAAATTTCGAGATCGCATCATTCGCAACAAAGAGAATTCTCATCGCTCGACTCGAGGAATAAAAATAATTGAGATAGCCGCGTTAAGCAATCCACTCTGTACTTACATTCGAGCGTAATTTCTCGAAAATACCGAACGTTTATCCAATTTCTAAGCCATTGTGTCCTCCGATGTTGCGCCACGCTTTGTCAAATTATCATATCCCCTCGTTTCCACGATTCTCGCCAGCCGATGGATCGCGGATGAAAATCCGGGAGGGCGTTTCTCGTTTCGGACGTGAACGAACGAGAATTATATTCGCAATTCCATCCGAACAGCTGTGCAGATATTAAACCGGGTGATGCGTAATCGTAATAACGTTTTCCGTTATTACGCTGTCGTCGCGGAATTGTCGAGGCCTCGCCGATCGTTGGTCGACGTGGGAACGCGATAATGATTAACAAAGGCGCGTTATTAGCCACGCTGCAGAAACGTGAAACGAAGTTAACCGTGCACAGAGGCACAAAGGCACGAACCAAAGTGTGGAGATATATATTGTTTTCCATAGTTCGGGCGCGGTCACGCCGTCGTAATCGCATTTTTCAACGAGTCGGCCTCGCGCTTACCAGATGCTTCGGCCATCTTCCTCCTATCCGTCCCGCTTGATAAAGATCGCCGCTTCTGCTCGTTCAATTTGAAACGCTTCTTTCGTGGATGATGACTCGAAGCATTTCGTTTGATTATTTTGATTCAGCATTTCGTTCTACATTTGGTTAATTGATCGGACGCGAGCTTTTCTCGGAAAGGAAATTTTGGGGGAGGAAGATTAGCGATTAATAGTGAATTGATTTTATAATTCTTTTTCTCTCTCTTTCTATATATATATATATATATATATATATATTTTTAACAAAATTTATTTTGAATTTTACGCTCGGATAATTTTCACAAACTATTTTAATTTTATATATATTTAGCTACATATTATGGATCGATACTTTTAGATATTAAAATTGACAAGTTCTTGGAATAAGTTTTTATCTCTCGATAAATCGGTTAAAGTTTTATACAATTTTAATGATAAGCTAATATAATTTTTATTCGTTAGATTATTCTATTAGATTGTTCGAGGTAATAGTATTTTTTTAACAATTGTACAAAGCGCGAGGAAGGGATGAGGTCGGTGGTAACAAATAATTGTACTTTGTTCACGCGGAACATAACATACGATTGGAATAATCGATCGTAAAGATTTATCTTTAATTCTGAAAAATAAAATCGTTGCATTTATCAACTACAAGCAAACGATGAGATTATCCGTATTGCTAGTCTGTGTTATCTTCCACTTCTTTTAACGGTGTTTGCCATTACCGTCGTCAACGTTACGTTCGCGATAACAGAAATTTTGAAATTAAAAATTTTCTTTTTTTAAATTCAAACGCACATTGAAATGCACACCTGACTGAGAAAAATTCTTTCTCTCCAAGATGTTAAAAAATTATATGGGCACGTTAAGACTTTGGCACCGAATTCGAGAAACGCAATTAACGTAGTGAAGCGTCGTGAATTTTCATCACGAACTTCCCTCGAATCTCAAATGCGACTAATGTCCTCGTAGTCTGGTTAAGCCAGGTTTCTACTACTTACCACTGTGATTTCTCTCACGAAACTTCGCCAAAGAGTTAATCTCGAATGAAACACGAATATCGTTCGTTAGCTCATTCTCATTGTACCCGTTAATTCAGTCCTCGATCACGGTTCGCTGAACCGATAAATCGTCGCACGATTTCTCGAAGATTCTCGAGTCGTTGCGATTATCGATCTTTTTCTTTCCCCTCTCTCTTTCTCTCTCTCGAAGTCTTCGTGTTATCTGTGATCGCCACGTTACCATCGCGTATTTACACAACGTTGATTCCATAACACCTAGAATCGCGATACGCGCGATGAAGGGAAAAAAGACGGATAGAAAAGAACTTGTTGTCGCCCAGATTGAATCGCATTAATTATTTTTAAGCCGCGGTCGTGTTAATTAAAGACGCGACCTTACCTTGAAGCTCGGTAGTAACAGGC